AACGCTGCTGCTGCTTTTCGACCATTGTTTCACCACGGACGCTTTTGTCAAATTTCAGTTTTTTATCGCGCGAGTAAGTCGGGGGACCGTTGAAAATATTTCGGAATTATTCATCGGAAAGGGACGAGTGACGCGATAAATAACAAGGAAGAAAGTACTATCGCGGTTGTATATCCCGTGGAAGATTTCTGCACCGACCGTTTCCGGCTGATCGTGCCGCAGCGCCGAATTAAGCTGCGCCCCGACGACCCTGTTACACCGCCCTGCCACATTTTTCTCCGCAGGTATCGTTTCCGTTCCGCTCTTCCACGATACTTTCATTAGAAAACATGCCGCGCTCGCAGCCATTAAATCACTCGCCTTAGCCAACAGCGGAAGCAAAAAGAAATCGCGACCGGAACAAGCACAGACCGCCAACCACGCGAGTTCTCGGACGAGTTTCGTTAGCGAGGAAAAGCAATCGGCAAGGTGTCTCTCCGATACGGATCGCGAATACCTGTTTCGACGAATATTCGTCAAGTCCAAGACTGTTCGCGAAAGGGTATACGCGAAATCTCCCGCCTCGTTTAGTTTGGTCTGTGTGTCTGACACCGGTGTCGTCAGTCGTAATAGAAAGGGATAGTTCGGGAAGACACGTCACTATCCATCACCCTATACTGTCACTGACGCTGCACATTCCTAAGGAGCAAATGAAAACTGACTTTGCACCGTGACGATACAGGTGGAGCGGAAAAGGCACTCTAACCTTCGAAATTCAGCATGTACAGGTCGGACCCAAGTGACGGAGGGATTCGAAAAAATGTGGGGACGACGAAGAAACGATGTGTGTTTAGGGATAGGATTTTTTAACCGAATCAAATATTTTGTGTGACAGGAACAAGAGCAGAGATCGTACGAACGAGTTCTCGCCAAAGTATCGAGGCCAGTGTACTGGATTGAAACACCCCCGAGTCGCGCGACGATAATGTGCCACGCCTTGGGCGTTTCGACCGGTCAGAGTCCAGTTTTCCCAGAGGTAAAAGGACCTTCTGCTCTCGAACGCCAGGGAAAAGCTTTCCCATCTCTCCGAAAGCTCGATGCGTTCGCATGAAGGAAAACTAGCAACTCGTGTCAATCGTATCCCCGTGGAAACTGCGAGACCATTTTCCCGTTTTCCGAACCGGCCCTGTATCGACCGCGGGTTCTGGTAATTTTAATATCGAAGTCGCCGAGGAATCCAATCCGCGGGGATGAAAATCTGCGAGCCAGAACAGCGAGATGTACAGGATTGCCTGGACTGCGAACGAAAAAGCTTGATGTGGTTATTCGAACGAAATTTGTCGTAAAAGGTAGCAATTGTGGGAACGGAATGGTTCCAGCGAAACTTTTCAACGCAATTACGAGACTCGACTGTGCCATGAGAATATGAACACGCAGTTCGTGACTGTCGTTCTATCGTGTCCTCGAGCACGCTCGTTCGCAATTTTAGACACCCGCGACGTGCCTCTCCGTGCTAACTCTGCGGTCGTAAAAGAAGTCGCTGCGTACCGTTTAGCGTTTCATCCCGTGCAGCAACGGCGCAACTTCAACGGGAGATTAGGGGAAGAAGCACGTGGGGATGAAACGGGAGCGCGAAGCTGGAAGAAGCCGTGACGAGAGTGAAAGATGGAGCATGTCGCGATGTCCGTCGACGAAAGTTGACGGATAATCGAGAAATCGAACGGAAGA